GCGGGGCCCCAAAGGGAACATTTACCAATATTTTCAAATTCTTATCCATTGATGACATGACAAGTATTGTATTTCACTTAGTTTACATGCTGATTTCCACATCACATCTAAACAATAAAATAAAGCTACCAGTACCTATGATATAACTCAGGTGACCGCTAAGGCCCTTGGGCCTCTTGTTATCATTATATTTTTTTGTAAATAATAGTATTACAAGTAATTCTAAATCCTAAACAAATAGTACTCTTTGCCTTAAGACTATAATGGATGTATTTCTATTGCTGTGATATCGCTATGGCGGGTACGTATAGCGGACGTCGCTATAGCGAACTATTATGCGACGTCATAGTTTATGACGTCACAACATATACCTCAAATAATCAGTCTAAAGAATCTCCTAGAAGAGATGAAAGTACTAAAGTCTCGTTATTGAGAATTTTTCTTTTTATAATATTTTTTCGTCCGTAAGGATATTTTTTTCTGCTTTAATGATACAATACAATACCATTTAAGTTTTTGCTTATTTAATAGGGCTGTCAAAATATATCGGAAAACAGGTATATCACAATACACGGGTATATCGGATTGTACCATAATACAGAGATGAAATATTGCTGTATCACAATATTTTTTTAAAAGCTTATTTTTAAGTATCTCATTCTGTTTGGTGTTTTTAAATTCTAACAAATATGCCAATAAGCATACAGTTGTGGGATCGCACAACATTACACAATGTGCGCTGTGTGAACAGTGTGCAAACAATAAAAAGTTGGACGATCATTGCTTCGCACGATGGACGAACGTTCTGAGATAACAATATAATCATCGTTGGTTTTAATTGAGGAATGCTTAAACAATATACCCGGGTATACGGTTTTGTGTTTAAACATATAAACTTGATTTCTACGTATGTTTCTACATCTTTAAGCTTATCTCTCTTTTTATACTGTCTTAAATTGAGAAACTGTGTTTTTTTTACCTGTTCTGTTAAATTGGAGCCTAACCGATTCTTGACAGTCTAAAGGTCACTGTAATGCTGTGTAACACACATTGTAAAATTATACAAAATCTGAATCATTGTGATGAGAAATTACAGTAATGTATACAGTGTACATTAATTATTGCATACAATTTTTTCGTATTTTTTTCATTCCATAATACTGATCAACAAATTGTACCAAATCGCACAGTTGTACGGAGAAAAATGCACAATAGGGCGAACGATTGTTAAATAGCACAGTTGACTTGTGCGCACCATGTGTCGACTTTGTGCGGACGGTGTGTGAACGATGTACATTTGTATGCACAGTGTGCGGACGCTATTTTTGGTGCGTTGTGCGGTCACACAACTGTAAAATAGGCTTTAAATAGTGGTGGGAACTTAGTTCAAATTTTGTAATCGATGGTTGGTTTGACAAAAATCTTAGATCTATGATTAAGTTTGATAACATTCTGAAAACAACATATTATAAAATCGAGCACATCTTCCCTATGACAATATATCAGGATACGTATCACAATATATTCATTCTGTATTGCAATATATCGTGATACATTCTTGGCGCGTTGTGACACCCCTATTATTTAATATATCTATTGGTAGAACAACGGGGAAATAGCTTAGCTCATTTGCCTTCAGAGGGATTAAACAGTAAATACTAGGGTTAGAGGGACAATCCTTCTCAAAGGGGGATAATTAAAGTTGACATGTAATTGTGTGATGAAGTTGCTACATGTAGATTGAAGACACTGAATCAGTATATACATGTAGGACAGGACAGATATGCATGGGTAAAAATATATGCCCTCGTCCATACACAAACTCATGATGGGGACATAAAAGAACAATTTCATTTCTTTGCATACTTAGATTACATTCATCTGTTTTGCTTGTTTTCAGGTTCAAGTTATAGACAATGAGAAAAAGAACCTTCACCAACAAGGACATGTTCCTACTCAGCGTTGCAGAAGCTGCATGCTTATAGGATGATGTGACAGTGATTTTGTTTTCATGGAGAAAAAGTCTCTTTACCATTATTTAAGTTTGACTGAAAAAGTTTGACTGATGTTTGTCATTGCAACATCTTTGTGTGACAAGTATATGATGTTGGCAGGAAGACTTTCATCAGTTTTGATGTTTTTCTTTCGCTTCGCCTGGATTTCTCGATTCACACTACCAAGCATCCTTGTAACAGCATGGACACTTAATATTCGTTTTCGAGTGGAAATTGAATTTCAAAATGTAGGCTAATAATACTTTGAAATTCACCTTGTGTTCTTTTTATGTATATTTATTAATGTAATCAATTTGTCATAAAAATGTAATCAGTTTTAAATTTGCTTACCTCTCATTCCGTCCAAAGAAACTGTGATAATATATTTACAATGAGTCGTGGTGTAAGAGACTTACGTGAACTGATATGTGTTTCCCGTCTCACGTTTCGGAACAGTGATGATGAAGAGCCCCAATTTCTCACTGATGATGAAGTGGTAGCCAAAGATTTTGACCGGTTATCTGTCAGTAGTTCTGACTCGGTGGGAGGGGTGGAGGCTACAAATGGAGGGAGGCATATATCCCCTGACTCAGGGTGTGTCACAAATGGCAGCACACCCCCAGAGCTCCCTATGGAAGAGGATACAACCCTATCTACCACACCCATCATTGTCAAATCCCCACCTGTCCCTACCAAGGTAGGCAGGACCAGAAGGAAGAAGAAGAGGGCTCCTCATAAAGTTCTGAGCACAGAGCCCTCTAGACATGAACTGCCAAAACCACCCAGAATCCCTCCATTGCGACCAAGATACAAGACAAGCAACAGTTCTGATAATGATTCAGATGTGGACATGGAATCTTGTCCTGTACAGAGATATGGCTCACATGTGACTGGCTTTAGGAAGACACAGGCCGAGGGAAACTTTGATGATATCTTGTGTTACATGGATGCTACTGTTGTGTCCAATTGGTTGGAACGAGCCAACAAGATGGTAACAGAGATAACAGCCTATTGTAACAGTGATGATAGTTTTGTTACATTTGCACATTTCTGGTTTACTGGTTTTGATGATATCCAAAAAATAGAATTGTTTGATTTAGAACATAGTATTTTAGTTGAGGAAATGAGCTTTGCTTTTGCTGTCGGGAAAGACCAAGGAAAAGTTAATCAAAGAGATCTCAACAACTTCATAAGTGCCTTGTTCAGAGAATATCCAGACAAACTACTTAGTACCAAGGGACCAAATATGTTCTTGAACCATTTGGATGTACTGTCATCACAGAAACATGTTCAGTATAAAAAGTTGTTGTCTGATGTCAAATGTTCAACCAAAAACAAACAGTATGCCCAGTGGATACTGGCCACCCGTTCATTTGCTTTAGTCAGTGTGTGGTCAGCTGTTGTAAACTTTTACCGGAATCTACTGGAGAAGATATCACCGTCAAGGCCACCCTCCAGTCAGTCCCATAGGGAGGAGGACACTAACCTAAGACGAATAGGTCAGGCCATCAGACTGGGATTTGCTGATGTGGTACACTACTACTTTACCGAAGGTCATATAAAGCCCCACCTCGTTGACCCTAATGGTCGCACCTTTGTCTTCTCTGCTGTCATGTACAACCAGTGTGGTGTGCTGCACTACCTCATCAACAGGGTAAGAACTAAAGTTGCCTTACTTNAACAAGAGCTACATATACATTACCTCACCAACAAGGTTAGAACAAGAGCTACATATACATTACCTCACCAACAAGGTTAGAACTAGAGCTACATGTACATTACCTCACCAACAAGGTTAGAACTAGAGCTACATGTACATTACCTCACTTACAAGGTTAGAACTAGAGCTACATGTACATTACCTCACTTACAAGGTAAGAACTAGAGCTACATATACATTACCTCACCAACAAGGTTAGAACTAGAGCTACATATACATTAACTCACTTACAAGGTAAGAACTAGAGCTACATGTACATTACCTCACTAACAAGGTTAGAACTAAAGCTACATATACATTACCTAACTAACAAGGTTAGAACTAGAGCTACATATAAATTACCTCACTAACAAGGTAAGAACTAGAGATACATGTACATTACCTCACTTACAAGGTAAGAACTAGAGCTACATGTACATTACCTCACTTACAAGGTTAGAACTAGAGCTACATGTACATTACCTCACTAGCAAGGTAAGAACTAGAGCTACATATACATAACCTCACTAACAAGGTTAGAACTAGAGCTACATGTACATTACCTCACTAACAAGGTAAGAACTAGAGATACATATACATTACCTCACTAACAAGGTTAGAACTAAAGCTACATATACATTACCTCACTAACAAGGTAAGAACTAGAGATACATATACATTACCTCACTAACAAGGTTATAACTAGATCTACATATACATTACCTCACTAACAAGGTAAGAACTATAGCTACATATACATTTCCTCACTAACAAGGTTAGAACTAGAGCTACATTTACACTACCTCACTAACAAGGTAAGAACTCGAGCTACATATACACTACCACACTAAAAAGGTTAGAACTAGAGCTACATATACATTAACTCACTTACAAGGTAAGAACTAGAGCTACATGTACATTACCTCACTAACAAGGTAAGAACTAGAGCTACATGTACATTACCTCACTAACAAGGTAAGAACTATAGCTACATATACATTTCCTCACTAACAAGGTTAGAACTAGAGCTACATATAAATTACCTCACTAACAAGGTAAGAACTAGAGCTTCATATAAACTTTGTCACCAACAAGGTAAGAACTATAGCTACATATACATTACCTCACTAACAAGATAAGAACTAGAGCTACATATACACTACCTCACTAATAAGGTAAGAACTATAGCTACATATACACTAACATGGTAAGAACTAGAGCTACCTATACACTACCTCACTAACAAGGTAAGAACTAGAGCTACATGTACATTACCTCACTAACAAGGTAAGAACTACAGCTACATATACATTTCCTCACTAACAAGGTTAGAACTAAAGCTACATATAAATTACCTCACTAACAAGGTAAGAACTAGAGATACATATACATTACCTCACTAACAAGGTTAGAACTAAAGCTACATATACATTACCTAACTAACAAGGTTAGAACTAGAGCTACATATAAATTACCTCACTAACAAGGTTAGAACTAGAGCTACATTTACATTACCTCACTAACAATGTTAGAACTATAGCTACATATACACTAACATGGTAAGAACTAGAGCTACCTATACACTACCTCACTAACAAGGTAAGAACTAGAGCTACATGTACATTACCTCACCAACAAGGTTAGAACTAGAGCTACATATACATTAACTCACTTACAAGGTAAGAACTAGAGCTACATGTACATTACCTCACTAACAAGGTAAGAACTAGAGCTTCATATACACTTTGTCACCAACAAGGTTAGAACTAGAGTTACTTATTTACTGGATGTATCTTATCAACAAGGTAAGTACTTCAGCTGCATGTGTTAAACAACCTTACTACCAAGGTAAGGACTAGCTACATATACATACGGTATGTGAAGTTAAGACTTTTTAAAGATTTATTCATATGGATCTTTATTGTTGAGTTACAGCTTACAAATTAACATTATTCTTTCTCTAGAGACTGGACAGAATTATGTAAAAACAAAACACCATAATTTTTAAAAAATATTATTTTTTATAAGGAAAATTTTACTGAAATTCTCATATATTTCACTTGGTAATACTATACCAGACCAATAAAGTGAAAGTGTTATATCCTATCATATTTCACCCCCTCATATCTTCCAAAGTGAGCAACTGCAGCAAAATGTTTTTTTTGCGGCTTCCAGATTGACACTTTAACATTTAGAAGTTTCAGAAATCAAATAACATTTCTATTAATTAGGAGAGTCAAAACACATGTAAATAAGATATGTTCTTTCATACCCTTAGAATGAAAGCTTATTTTGTTGGGGAATCAAAAACATGTTCTCAACGGTCTATTGGGAGCCCTGACTTTTGCTGAGTAATCATTTACCATAATTTTGGTTGGCAATACATCCAGACAAAAAATTATGCTTGAACTACCAGTCATAATGTGGCCGTTATCAATGAATTACAAGTAATTTGAAATGTTGTTGATCTGGTAGGTGAAGCCTATGATAGATGTGAACCTAGCTGCTGACACTGGCAACACTCCACTTCACGCAGCGGCAAACAGCGGCAATGATCGCCTTGTGGAGGTCCTTTTACAGTGTCCACAAATAAACGTGAATGCCATCAATCCCCAGTGTGAGAACGCTACTCCTCTACACCTCGCTGTCATGCATGGTAATGACGTTGTTATACAGAACAATTGCTTGTCTTTGTAATTTTGGAGAATTTAAACAAAAGTATTCAGTGAAGTAAATCTTAAGTTTTATTTCCTAATAGCTTCACTTGATTCATTTACATTGAGATAGGAAGATGTAATATCGATTTATACATTGTCTTGAAAATGTGTTAAGTAATTAGCCTGTATATCAGATGTGTGATGATATTGTCATAGAGCACAATATAGTTACAGTATGACTTTGCAAGTCTAGAGGTAAAGAAAACCTTGAACAATATTTTATATAAAATCATTCAGTAGAGTTATAAATTCTAATAGGTTGTGTCGTCCTATCAGCATGATGGAATACATCAGCTGATGAACCTCTTTAAGAGGTGAAAGTACTAGGGCGCAAATTAGAAAGGCATTGTTTTATTACTTATATATTTTAGCTTTTGAGGTAAAGTTTTGACATATATGTATGCCTTTACAGGTCACAGAACTGTTGTGGAAAAGCTTGTTAAAGCTAAAGCAGACTTGTCGCTGAAGATGGGAGAACTCAACGCCGAGGACATTGCAAAACAGTTTGACAGCTATGCTACATTAAGGGTGCTAAAAGATTCTGTGTGACCTAGCTATATAGACATTCACAATGTCATTATGTTTTGACTACAAGAAGTGTACCTGATAAGTTAAAAGCATTACCTGTGGAGTGTGAAAAATGATATGTTAAATTTGTGTTATGAGTGACAATAGTGAACAAATAACTGTTCACTGATATGGAGGATATTTAAAACATTAATGCATCACGTGTGAAAAGGACTTCTCACTATTTATAACTTGCTTGTTAATAAAGTGACTATCATTGTTTGTATTATTATTGGTATACCCTTATGTCATAAACAGGATGCACTTACAGAGTACAGTACAACAAACAACAGATTAATAATAAACAAACATATTATCAATACAACACACTAACAGTACAGCAAACAAACTATACAACAAACAACAGATTAATAATAAACAAACATATAAACAATACAAGACACTAACAGTACAGCAAACAAACTATACAACAAACAACAGATTAACAATACAACCATATTAACAATACAACACACTAACACTACAGCAAACAAAATATACAACAAACAACAGATTAATAATAAACAAACATATTAACAATACAAGACACTAACAGTACAGCAAACAAAATATACAACAAACAACAGATTAACAGTAAACAAACATATTATCAATACAACACACTAACAGTACAGCAAACAAAATAAACAACAAGCAACAGATTAACAATAAACAAACATATTAACAATACAAGACACTAACAGTACAGAAAACAAAATATACAACAAACAACAGATTAATAATAGACCAACAGATTAACAATACAGCACACTAACAGTAGAGTAAACAAAATAAACAACAGATTAATAATAAAACAGAACAGATTCATAATTCAACAAACACACTACATAAATACTATATAACAATACAATGAACAATAAACAAACAACACTAACAGACAACAAAAACTGTAAACCAAACAACAGATTAACAATTATCAAACAAGAGAATAAAGACTGACATTCAGAACAAAAAAATAAAGGCAGAACAACAGACTGCACTACAGAACTAAAAACAACATAGCAACTAGCAAAAATGTGAAATGATTTTAAATAAGGGCTTTTAGTGTGTTTCGTGTAAAATAGTAGGATTGTAAACTGATGTACTTATGTGAATGTTTCATTCTGTGACAATATACAATCCCGCCATTTTAACAGCGAAATACCAAAGATTTATTTACAGCATGTGCTCATATTTACCAGCTTAATACAAATGAGTATTAAATATATTTTTCGTGTATATATGATATAATTTATTAATAAAAGATTAGTGTACAGTTGACATTACTGTAAGTGTCAGGATATTTATTGTTACATTTTACATTTTATTACTGGTACATCGTGTAATTAAAATCAGATTTTTTAATGACATTGACATGTAAAAAGTATTCCAATGAATATGAGATTTAGAGTGTGTTTTAATAGTTTATTAAATTTACAGAATGTTGTTTCATTTTGCACTGTTGATATCATGTTATAGTGTGATAGAACACTCAGAAATACTAAAACACTTAAAGTTTTAATTACTTGTATGATAAAGGTTGCCTCAACAGGTACATATTGAATTTATAAACCAGGTTCATTGAAGACCATAGGACATTTAAAGAGCATATCTCTAAATTTCTTGGAGGATTTTATTCTGTAAACAACATATGAATAGCTATTTATTTTATTATATTATGAATAAGAGTAATTTTGAAAATAAAAAAGTGATATGTTTACACCTGTGAACATTAACTGCCGTGTAGTTAATTATTGAGGCTATTACATCTGTAAAAATTAGCAGCTACACGTATACTTTACCTTTATAGAGATATGCATAACGTGTTTTGGAAAAATAAACCTAATATCTTTATTCTTGTATGAAAGGAAACCACTAAATATTTTTCTGCATTGCAAGTTATTTCGAAGATTTGAGCAAAATATAAACTAGCTAATAGAAAATTTGTCAACCTTTCTCAATAAGAACATTCCCATAATGTTTTTATAGCATGGTGTTATACACTGTAAGTTCAGACAAGAGTAGTTCCATGTATCAATAGACTGTCACACAGTCACTAGGGTTGTATCGTGCAACCTGTTGTCACATTTCAGAAGTATGTTCTCCTTTGAAGCCAATATTATTGAGATTTACTGCTATCGATGCTTATCAATTAAAACCATATCTCTATTATCAGATATGTACTATTTATCATGCTGGTGAGCTGCTGTGATAGTTAATTGCACTGGAAAAACATTCTTTTGTATAATAAAGTGTTTTATATATATATAATGTGGTTTTATTAAAGTTTATTATTAATAAAAACATGCTTAGAACTGCATTACAAAATAACAATGTGTGTTTATTAAATTTTATTTTTAATAGAAGCATATAACTGTATTACAATTGTCACACTTACAGCAAACACAATCTCAATATTGTAAAAGATTTTTCTTCTCGAACGACAACAACATGAAAAAAGAATGAAGTTTTTCCATGGCTTTGTGAAATTCCTCAAGATATTCACTCGTATTTCCACAGATATTTGTTACAAAAGTTCTTCCATATTTCTCCATCAAACATCAAGTTGAGGTTTCAAAATCACAAAGTTACACATCTCCTTTCTGTGTTAACTTTTGACATCCATTCTCTAATGCCAGTCATCAGGTGTATTTAAAATAAATGTCTCCTTGATACTCCAGGTGTTTCACTCCCTTTCACTCTCTGCACTCCTGGAATATTTCATGATACAGTAGTAACATTGAAGGCAAGCGGCTAGCTATTTGATTGGTTTCTGGTAAACAAAAACCTTACCAATTGCCTGAATGGTACCTATCAATAGAGGAGCTAAACCCAACTTCAATGCCTGTCAATTCTACCGTTACACGACTGACAACTTCTCTCGGTGTAAATCAAAGAATCAATCTAGTCTTCTCGTCTCATCTGACAGGTGATGCCTTCTAGTGAGGCTTCGATTATTCTATCACATATAAATATATCCCAGCGGTGTGGAAAGCGAAAGTGAGTATAACCCCTGGAGTATCGAAGATGTTGCTGTGTTTACTAACAGCCATACTCTATTTCCAGTTGTCAAGTGTATATTAAGTTACATGCTTCCTTTCTGTGTTATTTAAAAGCAATATATCATCACGTTTATGTTAAGCAAGATATCTCTTTACTGTGTTTACCAACATCCGATTGCTATTGCCAGTCATCAAGTGTATATACAGTTATATACTTAGCTGTCACCTTGCTGTGTTTACTAACAACAATACTCTATCCCAGTCATGAAGTGTGTATACATTTGCATGTTTCCATACTTTGTTAACTAACAGACAAACCATATTCCCACTCATCAAATGTATATACACATCTCCTTGCTGTGGTAACTAACAGACAAACTCTATTTCCACTCATCAAATGTATATACACATCTCCTTGCTGTGGTAACTAACAGACAAACTCTATGCCCACTCATCAAATGTATATACACTTCTCCTAGTTGTGTTAACTAACAGTCAAACTCTATTACCACTCATCAAATCTATATACACGTCTCCCTGCTGTGTTAACTAACATACAAACTCTATCCCCACTCATCAAATGTATATACACGGCTCCCTGCTGTGTTAACTAACATACAAACTCTATTACCACTCATCAAATCTATATACACGTCTCCCTGCTGTGTTAACTAACAGCCAAACTCTATTACCACTCATCAAATCTATATACACGTCTCCCTGCTGTGTTAGCTAACAGACAAACTTTATTCCCACTCATCAAATGTATATACACGTCACCCTGCTGTGTTTACTAACAGACAAACTATATTCCCACTCATCAAATGAATATACACGTCTCCTTGCTGTGTTAGCTAACAGTCAAACTCTATTCCCACTTATCAAATGTATATACACCTCTCCTTGCTGTGTTAACTAACAGTCAAACTCTATTACCACTCATCAAATGTCTATACATGTCTCCTTGTTGTGTTAACTAACAGACAAACTATATTCCCACTCATCAAATGTCTATACATGACTCCTTGTTGTGTTAACCAACAGCCAACCTCTATTCCCACTCATGATATGTATATACACGCCTCCTTGCTCTGTTAACTAACAGACAAACTCTATCCCCACTCATCAAATGTATATACACATCTCCTTGCTGTGGTAACTAACAGACAAACTCTATTTCCACTCATCAAATGTATATACACGTCTTCTAGTTGTGTTAACTAACAGCCAAACTCTATTACCACTCATCGTTAGCTAACAGCCAAACTCTATTATCACTCATCAAATGTATATACACGACTCCTTGCTGTGTTAACTAACAGACACACTATATTCCCACTCATCAAATGTCTATACATGTCTCGTTGTTGTGTTAACCAACAGCCAACCTCTACTACCACTCATGATATGTATATACACGTCTCCTTGCTCTGTTAACTAACAGACAAACTCTATCCCCACTCATCAAATGTATATACACATCTCCTTGCTGTGGTAACTAACAGACAAACTCTATTTCCACTCATCAAATGTATATACACTTCTCCTAGTTGTGTTAACTAACAGTCAAACTCTATTACCACTCATCAAATGTCTATACATGTCTCCTTGTTGTGTTAACCAACAGCCAACCTCTATTACCACTCATGATATGTATATACACGTCTCCTTGCTGTGTTTACTAACAGCCAAACTCTATTCCCACTCATCAAATATATATACACGTCTCCTAGTTGTGTTAACAAACAGCCAAACTCTATTACCACTCATCAAATCTATATACACGTCTCCCTGCTGTGTTAACTAACAGCCAAACTCTATTACCACTCATGAAATGTATATACACGTCTCCTTGCTGTGGTAACTAACAGACAAACTCTATTTCCACTCATCAAATGTATATACACATCTCCTTGCTGTGGTAACTAACAGTCAAACTCTATTCCCACTTATCAAATGTATATACACCTCTCCTTGCTGTGGTAACTAACAGACAAACTCTATTACCCCTCATCAAATGTATATACACGTCTTCTAGTTGTGTTAACTAACAGACAAACTTTATTACCACTAATCAAATGTATATACACGTCTCTTTGCTGTGTTAACTAACATCCAAACTATATTCCCACTCATCAAATGTCTATACATGTCTCCTTGTTGTGTTAACCAACAGCCAACCTCTATTACCACTCATGATATGTATATACACGTCTCCTTGCTCTGTTAACTAACAGACAAACTCTATTCCCACTCATCAAATGTATATACACATCTCCTTGCTGTGGTAACTAACAGCCAAACTCTATTACTACTCATG